TCGAGTATCAAACAATAAACGATAAAATGTCACCTCGGGACAAATAATCTTTAAGGGGCATTTCTTCAATAATTTACAACGAAAAGTTATCATCATTCAATTCTAATAAACTGGTTCTTCCGTATATAATTATTAATAACTTATTACTTACATTAACTCATAAATCATCGCTTTCCCGGAAATGCCGGCGGGAAAACGGAACGATCTTACACCTTTGGCCGACGAATTTTTACAATTCGGCGCCGAATGCCCATCCATTAAAAAAGAATAGATAAGAAATTCGAATACTGTAATTGAGATAAAAAAAAAAACAATGTAACCAAATTCGCTCTAGAAACGGCTTACACGCGACTCGAAAGGAGCCAACGGACCCCGCGACGACTGCCGCCACGCATCACGCGTTTATAGATGTCGACGAAGAACGCGATCCAGCGGAGACTCCTTTGTAAAAATCGACCGGGAAAGCGGGCGGAGAAGCGATACAAAATACAGAAAAAATAAAAACACTCGCGCGCCCTAGCGAAATATGGCGGGCAAATAAGCACGTAACAGCGATTACTCGGGCTTGCCGTAGTGCATTAACTATATAAAATGGTGTTACGATAAAAATATAAAACTTACTTTTTGCATTTTCCGCAAATGCGCCGTTTCTACGTTTAGGACGTCGGCAGTCTCGAATTTCTTCCGGCATCTGCACCAATTATCTTAGCACTATGTCCTCTCGCTTCTTTCTTAATTCGCACATTAATGTTGTCTCGTGGTCCAAACGAAACACTTCTTTACCTTTACAACACAAATTCTTTATAACTAAAAACTAATTATTACTTCTTTGGAATTGTAAGCAGTTCCTCGCGTATCCATTTTATTAAAATTAATCTCGTCGTCTGGCTTTAAGTGCTGCCACTTAGCGGCAATATTCTAAATGTAAAAAATTATATTAAACAATCATTTAATATTAATAATTTTACCGTCAAAATAATCGGATTTTAAAGAAAACTAATATTTAAGAAAATTAATATGATAAACGATCGAACGGTAAAATAAATAGTCGATTCGAAACCGCGGATTACCGACTTGCGATTTAGATTTAAGTACGGAAATGTCTGAATGCCAAAGTTTAGATTATGGTGTAAATTTATAAACGTTTCGTTGAGAAAATTCCGACCGAACTAACGACGAATTTATCAATAAACGATATAGTTCGCTACAAAAACGGTGGACCGTGTAGCGCGTTGGTGCTTTACTGGTCCGGAGTCCCGAAATCCAACTCCCGGTTCGCGCCGCCAGAGGTGGAAACGTGGCCGAGTAAGAGATGCCGCGGTCAAACAAAGATTTTCGGACAACCTTTAGCGAGAAACATTTGAGCGAAAGGGCTGCGGCCGAGTACGAAAAACGGCGAAAAACTATTACCCGTTCTAACTATGGCTGGGCTAAATCAAACTTTTCCTATCGATATCGGGCTTCGCGCCGAGATTCTTTCGATATATCGATATCGCGAACATATACAGATTTCGGTTTGATATAGGCCTATCCGTTAACGGCTCGGCACCGAACGTTCTTCGCTATACTCTAATTATGACGAACGGAAAGAGCGACGGAAGAAAAATGAAGTGCGCGACTCGGAGTGGAACTCCCGAGCTCGGGAATGCGCGGATGACTATCGGGGAGAGTCTTGTCTCTGACGAGAATGATAATTAAACTGCGCTGCGATATTATGATTTTTCTACCCCAAAGCCAAATGAGGGTTTAGAAGAAAAGGAAATGAGATACGATCTATAAACAGAAGAGTTATAAGAATTTTGCGATTTGAAACGTGGAATATACTCGAAACATACTCTTCAAAGAGTATGTTTCGAGAAGAAAACATCCAGTAATCAGTTGCGTAAGGAAAAGTTACGCAACTGGTTACTGAATGTTTAAAAGTTATGCAACTGGTTGCTAGTTAAGAGATTCTATTTAAAAAATAGCTTTTATATTATTAATCGTGCTATTAATAAATAAATTGTGTGCCGCGCTATTCGTTGCCAGATTTTAGCATAAAAATTTTTTTATATTATTAATTTTTATAAAATGGTAAAAGTCATAATTTTAAGAATAGAAATGAGTTTCGTAAAAATTGTAAATGTTAATAACGAGTAAAATCTTCGTTAAGTCCGAACACTTACGAGATTTGTCACGGGACCTCCTTTTCTCCCCACCCTCTTGATCTTCACTCGCCAAAATCGAATAGCATCGATGTCCCTTGTACATAACCTACAGTACCAAAATTTCGTTTCTTAATCATTATCCCTATCCTGATTAAGAAACGAAATTTGGTACGATAGCTTATATAAAAGGAGCGTTGACGCTATTAACTTTTGGTGGGGAAAGGTGGAAGGGATGGAGAGATAGAGGGTGATCACGTGATATATCCTCGAGTGGGGTCGTACTTAATGAAAATTTTACTTGTTAGCATTTACAGTTCTTTATAAAAGTGGTCTCTATCATCAAAATTACGCGTTTTACCATTTTAAAATAATTAAAAATATAGAGTTTTCGTAACAAAATCTCGTAACAGAGGGTGCCACATACAATTTTATTTATTTATTATAATTAATAATATAAAAGTTATTTTTAAAATACAATCTCGTAACTGCGGAAAAGTTACGCAACTCCTTGGTAGATTTATTGTCTTCGGTGTATAAAATATAGATAACGTGTAGAATGAACTGCTCAAAGTGGTTGCTGACCAATCTTCTCAAACAAGAACAAATAATATTGTCGAAGAGTGTGTCGCCACATTCGGCTGCCGATCCGAGTTCTAGACTAACATTCATCGTTGTTGTTACGCATCTTAACTCCGAAACTGCGTGTGTACGAATTGTTTATAAATCTTTTCAATAAAAGAATGAGATCTCTGTACATTTCAAAGCAATTCGCGATTAGTCTAATTAATATTGTGCCAACCTCACCTCTACTATTATATCTTGTTCTTACGAAGGCGTGACGGTTTTCAATGACATTGTTTGTGTGGGTAAGAGTTGATGCNCCCCCGCTAAGACAATCTATTAAAAGTTATGAAGCAACTAAAACGACAAGATTACATAAGGTCTCTCAGAGGTTGAAAGAGGCCAGGATCCAGAAACGGACTTATGTCCAATTCTCGAATCTGATAGTGTCTCATAAATCTATTTGTAAATTTACTTATAAATAAATAAATAAATAAAATTTTACTAATTGCCAATAGAGAAGTTTATTATTATTAACTTTTTGGGAGGCCCAGTCTCAAGTCGCAAGTTTTGCTTAGTGGCCGAATTTTTCTCAATCTGGCACTGTCTGATTCATTTATTTTTTGAAGCCCATAATATATATATATATATATATATATATTTAAATAATAAAATTTAACTTGTTAACGCTGTTTTGTTATTTTAAAAAATCAGTAACGATTTGCGTAACTTTCCCGGCTATTGTGAGATTAACAATATAAAAGTTATTTTTAAAATACAATCTCGTAACTGCGGAAAAGTTACGCAACTCCTTGGTAGATTTATTGTCTTCGGTGTATAAAATATAGATAACGTGTAGAAAGAACTGCTCAAAGTGGTTGCTGACCAATCTTCTCAAACGAGAACAAATAATATTGTCGAAGAGTGTGTCGCCACATTCGGCTGCCGATCCGAGTTCTAGACTAACATTCATCGTTGTTGTTACGCATCTTAACTCCGAAACTGCGTGTGTACGAATTGTTTATAAATCTTTTCAATAAAAGAATGAGATCTCTGTACATTTCAAAGCAATTCGCGATTAGTCTAATTAATATTGTGCCAACCTCACCTCTACTATTATATGTTGTTCTTACGAAGGCGTGACGGTTTTCAATGACATTGTTTGTGTGGATAAGAGTTGATGCAAACCTTTATCCATCTTAAGAATATGCTTTGCAAAATCTTTCAGTGGAGATTCGTGGCTCTGCAGCATCGTGCGTAATAATTACTGGTTCACGTATCGACGAGTGAGATTTTATTTTACCAAATCGATGCAATTTTGACATAATATATTTATAAATTACGCGAGTTTATACATTTGTCTATTCGTTTTCTATTGAAAATGTGCACTTTCTCTTTGAAAAAATCGTTTTCGGAATTGCCATCCATTAAAAATAAATGCAAGATTTTTTACATTCGGGAATGTTAAAATATAATGAATAATCTGACATTTCAAGTAATTAACTACAATCAAAAAAATTTTACTTATAACTAACTCGTAATATCAAATTGAATTGTTATGTGTGACATTAAACAATCGTCTTTCGATGCCACCTCTCCGGTTTCTTATTGTTTACATCATAAGAATTTCTCTTTTCATAGATAACAATATAAATGCATTAGGTTATAAAGTAAGAATAATAAAATCGTAAGATGTAAAAGAGTTAAATACTGTATTCCAATTTCAGAAGAAAATTTACATTTATTCTAAACAATTCCGAAAACAAATTGTCAAGAAAGAGAAAATGTACGTTTTTAATAGAAAATAAATATAGAAAATGCATAAACCCGCGTAATTTACAAATACTGTATTTCATGTCACAATTGTATTTATTTGGGAGAGAAAATGTAGCAATTATCAGTGAGGCTACCGGGCGCTGAAAGATTTCTCAGAGCACACTGATAAGTTGCTGGGGACTTTTCAACTTTGATTTTTTTCAAAACGTTTCAAATGTGCGTTTTCTCCCTTACCTCGAAGGTTCTTACCGAGACTTATCCACGCAAAGTGTGAATTGAAAACTGTGACGATCGCTCCAACTGACCTTTCCTTGTTAATGAACGCCGTAGTAAATTATTCGAATACACAAATTTTTAAAAGTTTTAATAAAACTTTATTAATGTGTACATAATGGTTTTTAAACAAAAAAATAATTACATACACTATAAAGAGACTTTTTTTTATACTGTACAATGATGTCGTTAATGATAATGCCTCCATGAATACAAAGTTCTTTTTAAATAATTATTACTGAATTACCATTTGTGTCCGTGGCCACCGCCTCCTCCTCCGCCACTGTGACCGTGACCTCCTTTGCCACCTCCTCCTCCTCCACCGTGGCCTTGCCCACCGTAGCTTCCACCACCACCTCCGTGTCCGTGACCACCGCCTCCTCCTCCTCCACCGTGCCCGTGACCACCGTAACCTCCACCTCCGTGACCGTGACCTCCTTTTCCACCGCCTCCTCCTCCTCCTCCACCGTGTCCGTGTCCACCGTATCCACCACCTCCTCCATGTCCGTGTCCGCCTCCTCCTCCGCCACCGTGACCGTAGCCTCCTTTACCACCACCTCCTCCTCCACTGTGACCGTGTCCACCGTATCCACCACCACCACCACCTTTTCCATGTCCGTGCCCGCCGTATCCCCCACCTCCGTGGCCTCCTTTACCACCTCCTCCTCCTCCACCATGTCCGTGACCATGGCCTCCTTTACCACCGCCTCCTCCTCCTCCACCGTGTCCGTGTCCACCGTATCCACCACCACCTCCTCCATGTCCGTGTCCGCCGTATCCTCCGCCTCCGTGGCTTCCTTTACCACCCCCTCCTCCTCCTCCTCCGCCATGTCCGTGACCATGACCTCCTTTTCCACCACCTCCTCCTCCGTGACCATGTCCACCATATCCTCCACCCCCGTGTCCGTGACCACTATAACCTCCACCTCCGTGACCGTGACCTCCTTTTCCACCACCTCCTCCTCCACCGTGCCCGTGTCCAACGTAGCCTCCACCGCCTCCTCCATCGTGTCCGTGACCACTATAACCTCCACCTCCATGACCGTGACCTCCTTTTCCGCCGCCTCCTCCTCCTCCTCCTCCTCCGCCTCCTCCTCCGCCACCGCGTCCGTGTCCTCCTTTACCACCACTGCCTCCTCCACCGTGGCCGTGTCCACCCTTCCCTCCGCCTCCTTCTCCTCCTCCGTGATGTCCGTGGCCTCCTCCTTTACCACCACCACCACCTCCCCCTCCTCCTTTGTGATGCCACCATGTAGCAGCTTTCAGTAGATTCTCTTCTTTCGCTATGGATATACAAATCGCCGCCAGGAACACCGCAACAAAACACAACGCAATCCTCTGAAATATAATACAAATTCTAAAATATTAGATAAAAATATACGTTTATAGAATAGAAATCGGCATAACTTACCATGACGGGATGTTTAGACGTTGTACGGTGACATCTGTTTTCAATTTTATATACACTTCGGATAAGTTCACGTGATCGCCGGTATCAGGAAGAGACGTCATCGTCATCATCACGTTCCTCCTACAATCGGGTTCGATACTCGTTTTCGAATTAGTCATTTTTTTTAATATTAGCAAGAAGAATATAAACCGGATAATAATCTCACGTTAACGACATCGAGCGCAGTAATGATCGGAGGGGTGAAGGACGACCAGTTAAGGGGATTAGATAAATGCCGTAAATTGAGCAGAAGCTCGTTTCGTCCCGCTCCCTTAGATATTAGGAGAAGGAAAGGAGCAGAGCTTGGTACAAATTTAGGTGAATGGCTTATCCCACGCTAATCCGTAGGCTAGGGGTGAACGACATTCAACGGGTACCGGTGATAGGAGACCCGCCAGCCTTTATTTTCGGGTAGAGAAATAGCAAACGTCACACATGGTTGGCCTACGAGAAATTTCTCGATTTTTACGAAAAAAAAGTTGCGGAGATTGCGTTGTTAGATATAGAAAATGGCAGTTAAGTGGCAATTTTTCTAATAAGTGACTAAAAGGTAATTTAAGATTATTAAAATAATCGACCTTCTTCATTCGATTAGAAAGTTTCGACACGAATTACATCGCTGTCATTTAACACCGCAAATTTCCAACTAATCGTCGACTGAAAAGTCTCTCCGTAAAATCTTTCCTAAATTTTACAATAAGCCGAGCATCCATCGGTCTTCGCCACGTTCTTTTTCAGATTTAAGTTTAAATATTGGAGTTTGAAAATTAATACGCAAATTCATAATTATAAAATGGACATTTTAACTACATAACCTAAAGACAATATCGAGATTCACCCAAAAGTTGTTTTTTTAATTAAATACGCAATTCGACGACACAATAACAAAACGTTAAGAACTTATTAATCGAAAAGACTTTCGTTTACAGAACACTTAACGATTTTTTTGTGCAAAATCGAGCGCAGACATCTTTATTGTTCTAATTATAAAGAAATTACTCGAAACGAGAATTCGAGAAGAATTAAGTATAGGACTCGTACGAAATGCCTTCGAAGTTCGATGAAAAAACTGCATCAGGTGTGAGTAACTGGACCGTGGATAATCTGGGACACGAAAAGAGGCACAATTAATTTTAAAATGGAGACAAACGAAGACCCTATTTGATAAGATGACAAAATTCTGTTCCTTAGAATTAACACTATTTATTCTTAGCGAAACGGTGTTAATTAGTGGCAAAATCCATTGGTTTTTCCCACTAATTAATCCTTCTTCGACTGTCCGAAATACGAAAATAGCAAAAATTTATACAAGTGGGAGATTAAAGTTTATATAAATTTGTTTGGAATTATTTATAAATCGAAAGATAGTTTCAATTAGTAAATTTTTAAGTTTTTGTTAGCGTATCGTCGAATTTAAGCGCGATTATCGAAGTTAAAAGACAAACACATATTTACATATCGGGATGCTTAATGACTTAAAGGACCGAACTAAATACATTTTTCAGAGAGGAAAGGAGTAATTTTATACGATTTCTCAATTAACAGTTGCCGAGAAGTCTTCTCTTTCTATTCAAACTTTTGTACGAAAATTTATTTGAATATTTTCTATGAAATTCAAATTCATTCTTGATCCTCCGAACGAAAAAAAAAATTATCTATTTTTAATAAAATTCAATTTTTATTTTAAGAAAGTTGAATTTAATAAAATTTTCATTTTTTTCACGAATTATAGCGTAATTTTCTATTTATTTGTAAAAACACCGTAACGAATTCAAGAATAACTCTTTATTAGAGTTAAAGTAAAATCCCCCCAAAATACAAACGACGTCGTAATTTTTTCCGAAAATTAATGTAGATTCTATAACATATTTTCATTCTTTTTTCCTATGTAAGACTTTTTAAAGCCATTTAATAATATAGCGGCACGCGACTTTTACGGTGTATAATAAAGAAAATAAAAATAAAATTTGAAACTCTTAGAGTTTATTCGCAAAATCAATCAATAAAATTATACAATAAATGGAAAGTCGGTGGTCGAACTAATGGGTATTTACACTGAGATGGCCGAGAATTTTCGAGTATGTTAAACGGAATGGCGGTACATTTCTCCCCCGTGATCCATCCCGGAAGTATCTAAAGAGGAATGTAGACTATGAAATTTGCCGAAACTTCCTCCGGCCGCGTGCAGGTCGAACGAATGAGAATTTCCGTGAAAACTGTGACCGTGAGATCCTGCGCCCAGGCTGGCGTGATGGCCGTGAAGACCTCCGTGAAGACCTCCGTGATGGTGGTCCTTGGCGCTGTGGCCGTAGGCGTCGCCCCCGTATCCCACCCGACCGCCCGAATGACCGTGACCGGCACTGTGATCGGTCACGTCACCGTGCCCGGCACTGTGATCGGCGCTCTGGTGAAGGTGGGCGGTGGAGTGATCGTGGTCGGCGTGATGATCGTCCTTCTTGTGCCAGTTGAAACCGTTATTCCAACCGTCGTACCATCCTTTGACGTACCCGTCCCACCATTTGGGGCTGTGGGCCTTAATGGCGTGATGACCCGAGTGAAATTTGGTGATCGCCGACGCCTGAAGGTGATGATCTTTAACGGGGTAGTGATGGCTGGACGCGCTGACGGTGATCTCTTCCAGGGTGTCGCTCTTCTTTATATTCTTCGTTTCTAACGAAGTGGCCAAACAAAGAAACCACAACGTAATTCGGATTATCTACGAAAGCAATAAATTAAAATGATTAAACGCAAAATAAACGGGTAGAAGATTATTAAAATAGGAAGAAACCGTAAAAGAATGACACAAATATCTTAAACGGAACGGGATTTCCGATTATTTGGAGTAATTTTACACAGATAAGGTCCAATTGCTACGCTATATTTAGTCCTATTTTCTGACCAAATTACCGAACAGGAAGTAACTTTTAGATCTTTCCGAGAGACAAGAAAAAAGGTTATAAATAGAAAAGCAATCTCGCGACGTTTATCGAAAGAAAAAAATCCGTTGCTAAATGTCTTTCAAAAGTAAATGGCGATAAGCCAATCGTGACGAAATCTAATTTCATTAATTGCGGCCTTACTTTTTTTAATTCGTAACGGTCGATACTACATTGGAAACGTACAAATTTATCAGAAACTAGCGCGAGTCGATTTTAAATTATTTAAACTCGATTAAGAATTAAATATTTAAGAAATAAACCGCGAGTCGTTAAAGCGTATTAGAAGTAGCCAGAAGCCGAGTTCGTTCACTTACCATTGTCGATACGGACTGTAAGGGCTGCCGCGATTTTTCTGTCTGTTTTATAGCTTCTCAATATTCTTCCGCTAAAAGGAGTACATTAGCCCATTTTTTCACGAAAGAAAATACTCTTATACGTCCTCCCCTTCAGCTAAACTTGACAATGACCCAGAAACGGATCCGTGCGTAACGATTAAATAAGGAAATGGGACTTCTGATAAGTTTCTATCAATCACATTGTTGCTTCTAGACAGGAGATGGCTGAGATTAGTAAAATTACGCCCTATCGGACCATCTAAATTAAAAAAAAAAGATATATAATTTATATTCAAATGCCCCGATAGATGTTCTGTGTGTATATATTTATTTTTAACAGCACAAAACGCCGTTTTCGCTTTCACCTTCCGAAATATACCTTAAGAAGAATCGAATTAAGTGAAGTAACTGCATTACTGTATGGAGAATTTTCGTTGATTATTTATTTTTGTTTTTTTTCAAATTTGTGCGGTTGGCAATTAAGATAAGATTACATTTAACCTACATTTATAATCCCTTTACCAGTTTTGGAAATTTAAATAAATGTTAAGGTCGGCTTCTACCGATCGATATCTTTATTACAGATTTAATTTCGTGTTGGAGTTTGGGTTATTTTGCTACAAACGTGGATTTTTTTCCTCTCCAAGGAAAAAACCAAACTTTGATTTATCGCCACTTCCGACATTGGCACTAAATCAAAAAAGCTCAAATAACGATTACACAAAGTAATGAAGTCTGCGTACGAGTTCGAAAGTTAAAAATCACGTTCTCGATGCAAAACGGTCCGTTTAGTAATCTGCGAATACCTCGTTTGACATTTACGAATATTCATTGGCGCATTCCGAGAGTACAGCTAAAGCCAGGTTTGACTATACTTTTATTTTATTCTTTATAAACAGTTCTAAAATAAGCGAAACGTAGTATAAATGCGGAATTACTTCGAAATTACCACGACCATCCAATTTTTAATTAGATATTTTCCGGAGAAGGAGATGTCGATTAAACTAAATATAGTTTTAAAACAATTAGCCTATTAAACAGTAAAAAGGTTAATAATGTATTTAAAATAAAATATAAACAGGAAATATTGTGATATTTTTATCCGGCGGACTTTCGAAGAGCGACAAAGAATACCCGGAATTCACCGAGCATCCTTACTTTAAGTACCGAGCAGAAACACATTTAAAGCCTAAGACGTAACAGATAAGCGACCCTTCCTCCCGGAATAAAAAATTCCGAATTTAAAAGGGCCGGGCCTTAATTTCTAAGCACCAGGCCCTAAACTGTAACATTACACGCGTAAAAGTAGGTACAATCTACATCGTAATTTCTGGACCTTTAACGTAAATCAATTTTAATTGCAATCATTAAAAACCGTTTAAGAAGGAAATTATAAAAATGTAAAATTTAATAGAAAACAATTATTTTGTGTTTTTTTAATTTAAAAAACGAAAAATTTAGCACTAAGTAATTATCCGAGCCATCTATTTTCGAGGAAAAGACTGGTAATATCAGGAAAGAGTAGAATAAATTCTTCCCATTTGTCAAGGGGCTTGTCGCGGGCTACGCATTTTATAGCTAGGCGATAAAAGAGACATTTATGAACTTGTGTTATTCTTTACGATCCACGCCAAAGACTTGGCCGGCGTGCGTTGTGTCAACGTAGGCTTACCTCCTCTTCCTATCGAGTAAAGAACAATAGAAGTTTCCATTCGAATTTTTTTAAATACAAATAACATACTTGTTGTTGAATTAAAATGGCGTAGAGGAGACGAATCGTTACCATAAATATAAATTCTATATAAAAATACAAAATAAAAAGGGAGAAACCGCGCCGTGACATCGAAAGACAATAGGTAAATATTTAAATGCACGTCGTACGTCGCTTTATTTTACCGATTTATCGAACACAACGACGAACGAACTACGTTGACCCGAATATTCCAACGAACAAACGGAGATAATTCGAAATTGTTTCGTAACAATAGCAAAAATTACAATGGAACGGTTCTACCGACGTGTTTTCCTTCTCCGACGTTTATTGCTTCGGTCAGATAAATAAATCTTTATTATACAACTTTAACCCAAGTAAAACCGTATGTAATTGTTACCATGGACTAAAATCTAACACTAAACAAAAACACTAAAATCTGTCAAATTAAATTTCGACATTTCTATTATTTAAACATAATTTATTTATTTATTACTAGGACTATCCTCGTGCCAATACCCCCCGCTTCCAGTACCGGATTAAGTCTCTACCAGGCCCTAGACAAAATTTAAATTGGGCCCCAATTTAAATAAGTTGCTTGTAAAGAAATCTTGAATAATGTCACATTAAATTTGTATTAATAATAGAAAATACAAGCATTAATACAATAATAATTGTATAATAAAAGAATTTCTGATATAACGAAAAATATTTTTTATTTTTTTAATTTATTATTATTTATGTTTTGTTTATTCGTTTTTATTTTTTCTAGCACCGAAGCCGGCCCCTCCGAATTACGGACCTTACACATATCTCTCATTTGTCTATTGGTTAATCCGGCTCAATTGTTGGAAAGCTTGTGGTGACGATTTTAAGATAAGTAATTTATATCTATAGATCTAACACCCAGTAAGTACAATTACACATACACTATACGTGTATATTTATACGGATGGACGAAAATTAATTGGCTTTATCTGTAATAATATCTTAATTACGGCGTTACTTCCAACACTCGCCCGACTTTTAAAGGGATTTTCCAAGCGATAATTAGAAAGAAGTCTGGAATATAAGCCTGCGAAGGCGTGAAAAATTCCGAACAATACGGTATTGTTATTATTGACAGACATAATACGCGGACAACACACGAGACATTTGACGGTGTTTTTCGCTACGGACAGACACGCGACGAGCGTACGAAAGATTCAATAAATTGTAAACAATAGTAAACAACATAAATTTGGACGTATTACGAGCAAACAACGACCTATTTACACGGACAATTGAGATGTGTTTATAGCGGGAATCTCTTTTATCAAACGAGGTCAGATATAATTTTTTAACGATTTTTATCTTATTTAAGTTAAAGAGATTTCTTATGACGTAACGGAAAGGGGGAAAATATATTTTGTGACAGTTTAAAACTGTAGTAGGCCAACTGTTCGTGGTATTATTTTGTTAAGATTTCGAGAAACTTTTATCGCGGGTGTAATATAATACAGTTTCCGTTTTAAGTAAAATAAAATACTTCATTTCCCAAATGGTGGAACGAATATTTACCAAATTTGGAAGGAGAAATGTACAAAAATAAAACTCTTCGTATAATTTATGAATAGGAAAAACACAGAATCCAAATTTTAAGAATTTCCTTTCGAAAAAACTCGAATGAATTGGACGAAAAGTAAAATAAGGTTAAATGGGAATTTTCTTGGGAAAATAGAACGAAACAGTGTTTTGACTTTTCCAATCGTCGGAATATTAAGGATTCGACTTTTATTCTTTCGTTCCAAATATACACAATTATTCACTAACGAGGAACTCGGTCCGTTCGTCTGTCCTACAAAGTTTTTCTCTCCCGCTACTTTTTGCCGTCCTCCTCTCTCCATTTTCCTGTTTATACGCGAATTTCAATAAAGGGGTACGTCGTGCCCAGCTTCGTCCAAATAATAAAAATTTTACTTGTTTTACTAAAATGTTACCTTATTTCATATGAATATTTTCGCATAAAACTCAAATAATGTACGTTTAACGTAGCCGTATTTAGTTTTTTCCCTAGTAAAAACGTGTAAACGTATCGTAAAAACGTCTGGGCCGTAAAGATTTACGGCAGGTAAGATGGCTTATTACTAGAAAAACGGTTACGCGAATGCAACCGTTGGGAGTAAATTCGAGTCGAGACGATAGAAAAGGATACGTCTTATTAACTAAAATAGGTTAGTCGAGTAAAATCTTACAAATAACTTGACCTTTTTTAAAGAAAAGCAAATAGGAAAAAGTCGTTCTCTTTTTCACTTCTGCATTCTTACGCGTAGAAACGGAATACGTCATCCCACTAACCAGCCAGACGCCTTCTCCGCTTCTCCCCGTACGCGGTTACGTACAGTACGACAGTTCTAAACATTTCTTTAAGCGCCAGGAGTGAAACGGTCAAAAAATAAATAAAATAAAATTTTGTTAAGCGAGACACGTTCGTAAATTATTCACGCCACTCTTTATATAAATTCAATAGAGATAAAGCGCTTTCCCCTGGCAATTTTCCACCGGGTGACGCTCGAACTACTAGAAATCCCGCCAGGCGAACGAAAATATCTTTAAAATGTACACAAAACTTGCGTCCTAATAATTTCGATGGCCGTTGGAGACAAATAATTACGTCAATAAATTTCATTTTTCGGCTTGTTTATAGAATAGAGTATTGCATCGATACGAAATGACAAACGATCGGTGGTCACTTTCACGATATTTCGTGGGTAGATAATTTCCTTTTCCCACCAAAGGAGACGGTCGCGAACAGTACTTCTCCTCAATCCACACTCTCGGTAATAACATTTGCAAAACGAATCGTGCTTTACTAAATTAACTCTTTTTGAAACTTTTCCGCCAACGAAAAATGCTCATTTACACAAATACTCCGTGCGTATAGCGCCGTATCGTGTTTTAGTAGCAATTTTTATTTCATTTTTACATTTAACAATTTCTTTCGGTAATTATCGATGGACCGCCGTTAAATAAACGGCTCGGGTTTTAGTATGGTTTCGAAATTGGTATCTAAACTTGGAAACGCTTGCGGATGGAAACGCGGGTATTATACGGGGATGCCGAGTTTTCCCTATTATTATTCCCGTTATCCCGGTTGGAAATAGTCTACGGTAGAAATTCTAAAGTCGAACTGGTTCCGCCAGACGGATTCTACTCGTACTAACTTTTCGGCCGTGGAATAAAGCGCTTAACCCCGAAGTAGAAGGAATAAAGGCCGCGCCGTTAATAGCCGTACGTTGTCTTTTCTAACAATTTTCTATAGGTGAAAGAAGAAATTCTGCCTCCAACGGTAGCCACTGAAAGCCTCCTTCGTCGATACATTCCAGATAACGTTAAGAATACCATTTAAAGTACGGTAAATCCTTCGTCCGTTACCGCAATTCCCGGGAATCCGATAGTTTATACGCGTAACGGAAATGTCCAGCGTTACGACTTTTACGCCATGGATTACGTAACGAGACTCGAGCGATAAAGACGCATTTTTGTCCACGCTATCCCGAGACTGGCGTTTTACCGGTCACCACTCCTCGGCTATTTTTACCCGCCGGCCGACTTCCGGTTCCGGTAAGCGACCGGATAAAATTTGTTCGAGTTATCGAATCTGCCGAACATTGGCGTAAATACGGAAAGCCGACGAAGAACTTTCGTTTTACTAAACGAAACGGTCCGAACAAATAACGCGGGTCTTTATTTCCGTACGCGATATTTGCCGTCGAATTTTGAACGCTGGCGGAAGGAAAAAGATCTTCGATAACAAGAAACCGACAATTAACATCTCCTTAGAATTTATTAAACTCTTTTAACCCGTCCGGCCGTAACGCTCTACGAATTAAGTGTTGTCCGTCACACTCGTAACGCGTGTAATTTCTTAACGATAAGCGACTCCTCTTCTATGTTAAATACACAAATATATTATTAATTTATTTATTTTGATATTTTATTAATTGTATTTTATTCGCGGACGGAAATTTGGAGCAAACTGGGGAGGAAATCGATGGGGTCCGGACACTAATTTACAAAAATTGGACGATATTATTATATTATTCGTATAAAAGTGGACAAAGGTTCGATCGAAAGATTTAAGCGGGTGGCGTAAAAGACAAATGACACAATTTCGTCAGAAAATAGAACGAAGAACCTCGATGACATTTAATGAAACTCGAAGACGATTATAAGAAAGCGCGTGTAAAGGAAGAAAGTATTTTCTTCCGTCATTCCGTAGGAATTAATGGTAAAATGTCTACTCCCACGTCGTTTGTATTTTTACTAAATCTATATAGGCTAATTTATTGGCCCGTCCTAATTCGTTTTATAAACCGGGCCATCGATCTTCGGCTAAGGGTGCGAGATTCTAAATTTAAAAATTATAGTTTTTAATACGGCAAAATAAATTTTAACTCGAAATAAAACTTCTCGCGCCGCTAACTTTTATATTTTTCTCCAAACTCGTCCAGTCCCACCGAAGATATATTTTATTCGTCTGGAAAAGACGAGTGATAACTTTTTCACCAATGGTAGAGCCTTTCTCTTAAATAAATAAACTTTTACGAGAAAGATTATCTGGCAATTACCCTACATCGACGCTAATTATGGAAATCTTATGGTAATTAATTCTCGAGAAGATGGCGAAAGTGTAAGGAAAAGTAACTTTCGACCACGAGTTTTCCACGCAAAACACAAAATAATACGACTCGTACGAATTAGAAAGGATATTCCTAGCGATATTTACATTAATTTTAAGAGATTTTTATTAAAATTAATGTAAAAAACTTAAAGGTACTTACTTTTGAAATTACACGAGTCTACCACAAAATGGCGAATTCGTTATTTTTGCGCGTAGCCGAGTCTTTCATTAAGTACGCGCGTAGATATAAAACCCTCTACTCATTTAAATACAGTACGCGAAGTACACCCGTGTGTAAGGTAGAAATGGTAAGGCAGATTGGCGGCTTTATCGGTAAAAATGGACTTATTGGAAATTGCGATTTTAAAAGAGATAATCGGAGGGTAAAGTTTGGTAGAAACGGCCGAGGAGGAAGTAACGACGCCAAGTTCCTTCCTAAAAAGGACGGACAAAGATAAAAAAGAGCGCCTCGACCCCACTTTTCTGCATATTTTTTAATCGCTCGCACCGTGCACGGAGGGAATAGGGAAGTAAATAGAATTTTTAAGACGAAGATGAGT